GTTTTGCCGAACCGATAGTGGTTTGGCGGCCTGGGTCGCTGGAACCAGCAGTGACCCAGGCCTGCCACGCCCCCGAACTGGTTCTCCGGGCATGTGCCATCTTGTTTTTCACTTCTGCGCATGCACAGAACAATTTCTATTGTACCGTGCATTGCGTGCATCAAGCATGCGCGCAACGCTCCCAAGAGCAAACCGGCAGTAGTGCCTGCTGGAACCCACTCCTGATTTACATGCAATTTGTTTCCTAATCAGGGACAGTGTTAATCCAGTGTGACTTGTTCTTAACAAATGCATACTGGGTTCTGGTAATTGCTTGGTTTCAATGTGCTTTGCTGGTCATCATGATCATCTATTGATGCCCGACTCTATTTTCCTGTGTCCCTGTTTCACCAATTTTGAGGGCAAGCAAAATATTTGCATTCCTCCCATCTGACACATCAGTTTTTGTTTAGGATTCATCAAAGGTACAGTAATAAAATTTCAGCCAGACCATCAGCAAGTTCCCACAATACTATATCAGCAATTCATCTGGCTCTAAATTTTAAAACTCATTCAGGGGTTAGTTCAATTTGCTGATTCTGCTTCTGTTATTCCCAAGCTTCAATCATTCCTCTGTGTTCTGCTCTTCACAATTGCCTAGTGAAAGACATATTTTCTTGATGAAGAACATCAGATTAAACTGGGTAGTAGTTTGAGTAGTTTTCTGTTAAGCAGCCCCATACATTTTTTTATTTCCCATTTCTCTTCTTACCTCATGCTTCTTCTGTGCTGCCACACTCGCCTTCCCTTCAACTCCCCATATCCATTTATCTCCTTCCTCCAGGGGAAAATACTTATGGCTCAGCACGTCTGGTAGTGCCTGGGCATCATTGTGGGTGCTGGGATAGCTAAGCAGTCAAAGTCTTCTTGCAGGGTATCTGGGACCAGTGGACTTTCAGGACATTGGCAATGGCAGATGGGTCCCTGAGTCACAAGCATCACCAGCCAAGGCGGCAGGTTAATCAAGACTTAAAAGCTTACACCCATGCCTCTCCCTCCTTCCCTGACTGCTAGTGTGTCTCTGCTGCATTGCTGGGGATTTCTTTAGTTTACCTACAGTAGTTGATGTTGGCATAGAAAAGACTGAACATTTACCAGAGGGAATAAGAAAAGAGGGTGCAGGTTGGTGCAGAGATTTTACATTTGGGAAACAAACTGCTTTCTTCTCTGCATTGCCTAACTTGAACACTTATCCACTGGTCAGTCCCATGTGGATTAATAAGTAATGAGATTGGAGAAAGTTCACATCTATCTCTGTTTGATTGGATAGTGTCACATGGCATTCTCCTTCTGATTGGTTAGAGCCGTGATGGCTAATCTTTTTGCCATCGTGTGCCAAAAGTGTGGGGAGCATGGGGGTGTGTGCGTGCCCACACCCATAACTCTATGCTCCTGCACATGCACGCATGACCCCCTGCGTTCCCCCGCTTTTGGCACGCGATGGCACAGTGGACCCATTTTTCGCCCTCCCCAGGTTCCACACCCTTTCTAGGAACCTGGGGAAGCAAAAAAGGCCTTCCCCAATCCTCCAGAGGCTCCGGAGGCTGAAAATGGAGCATTTTTGTACTTCCAGTTTGTACTTTGGGCTGTTTTTCACCCTCTGGAGGCTTCAGGGAAGCCTCCAGAGGGCGAAAAACAGCCGAAAATCAAGGCTGAAATCAGCTGGCCAGAGCGTGCATGTGCGCTGGAGCTGCAGGGCAACGGTTCACATGCCTTCAGAAATGGCTACACGTGCCACAGGTTCACCATTACAGGGTTAGAGTATTCTTCATGCCCACCTCGTGACTTTTGCCTGCTTTGCAGAGAGAATGTTGGGCCAAGAATGGTAGATTCTGTCAATGTTGGAATTTCCTCCACCCCTCATTAAAGCCTGCAGGCGCATTTTCCAAGAGTGTTTGCAATATCAGCTGCAGAGTGTGCACTGCACCTCTTGGAAGGCCATGCCCTTCTCCTTCCTCCAGTTTTTCCTCCACCCACATAGCACCTTCCACTTATGAAACTGCAACCAGCTCTCTGCACCCTTACCATGTGCATCCCAGTGCTGTCCCCTCACCCACTGCCTGAATTCCAGGCCACCAGCTGGAGGAAAAAACACAAAGGTTACCTGCAGGTAATGGGGGGCAATAGAGGTGCTGGGGAGAAACAGAGTTAAGTTGCAGAATGCAGGACATCCAAAAAGGCAGATATTGGGGAGTTGAATTGCCCCTGCAGTTGTAAGTGAAATCATGTGACTATAAGGGCATTGCAAAAGCTGTAACTTCAGGCACAGGTTGTAAATCTCTTCCATCATAACTTCAAACAGATGCTAAATGAGTAGTTGTAAGTTGAGGACTACCTACATAGACATATGTCTTTACCTGAGAACCTTTCATAAGATAGTTTTGTCTCCGATCATCATAAGATTCAATTTAAAGCTGTTGTGATAAGTTTTACTGTGCTTCAGTGAAATAAATGTTGGCCAGTGCAGCCATCTCAAACCCACAATCCATCTTCTAGAGTAGTAGGAGTTAGAACATATACCGTAGTAGCCCCAGAGACCAAGAGCCTCTTCTTTCAAAAATATATCTAAAGAAAATAATTCAATGGAAGTATCTTTTAGGCTTTTCACGGTTCTCTTACCTCTATATGTAGGCTCTTCTCCTTTCATTTTTGTGTATGATATAATGATTCACATATAACAGAGGCAGAGGTAGCATTGCTATGGTGCAACCCTTTTTATCATTTTGACAAAGCATTGGATCATACACATCCTTCTAGGAGAATGGATAAGAAGAACAGATAACTAAATATAAATAAAGTTAATAAATAGCTGCCAATCATTTGATACATTTCAATTGTTTCTTCATCAGTTTAATTTGTCTTGGCATACAGCACCCTTTAAGGCCCAGTTGATCTAATTTGCATACCTTTGTTTCTAATCCTAATAACAGTGAGTTACCATAACTTTTCATCTACATTCCTGTTCAATAGTTCTTTTTCCCTGTTTCTCTCATCATCTGTTTTTGGTTGTCATTCTTGTCCATTGGGCATGCTTCTTTGGTTGATTTTTTCTTTATTGGCATCTTCTGGTTCTGATATCATCATCTTCTTCTTCTTGTGCCATATCCGTCATCGGATGTTGGCGATCATATTTTTATCAACAGCCACATGAAAAAGTGCTGCTGAGGTTTGTCCAAACCTGTCCCTTAGATTTTGAAGCCATGATGTTCTTCTTCTGCTTGGATCTCATTTGCCTTCAATCTTTCCATGGGGAATTAAGTGGAGTATGCTGTATTTTTCCGGGTGTTGCATCACATGTCCAAAATATTCTTTCACTTTGTGTGGTTTTGATGATCTCCCTTTACTTTCCCAGGTGGCTTATCACCTCCTCATTTCTGATTTTGTCAACTCAGCTTATACATAACAGCCACCTGTAAATCTACATTTCAAATGGCTACTAGTCTCTTCAAGTGGCTTTCTGTCAGAGACCAACTCTCTGCTCCGTAGAGCAGGATAGAAAAGAAGTAACATCTGACAGTTCTGATATAGCACCCCTTTCTTTGATCTAATACAGTTTTTTCTTCCTTTATAAATGAAGACAGTTTTGTCTTCTTTTATTTACCTTTCCTTTATTGATCTAATTTCTTTTATTCATCTAATACAGTTTTGTCTCCCTTCCTCAATTCTGAGCCTTTGCCAAGCATTATTTATTTTTTACATTTATTTTATGGAGGAACTCAACCATCTCTCAGGTGTTATAAGTCTTGCTTCCAAAGTACTGTCTATTTATCTTCACTTTTGTTTATTAAATCACTATTTTCAGGTTAACAAAGCAATGTTCCTTTTGAAGAAAAGTTCATTAGCCACTTCCTGCTATTGAATTTTCACACCAGGACTCGGTCTTCCTTGCCGTTTCTTGGAAAACGGCTGCTTTATATTTCTTCTAGACTCCCTGCAGCAGCCCCCACTCATTTAGCAGGAAGCAGTCATTCAGATCTCAACAATGGGAATTAAGATGCATTCCTTGTAATCAGTAGCTATTAAGGAGATTAGGTTCCCTCTCCCTCTTGTCTTTTTTCCTAGTGAATACTATTGCTGATCATCTGTTTGCTCTTCTTCTTCACACTCTTACTAATTTCAATAAATATTGAAAACTTTGTTTCAAGATAAATTCGTTCCTGTGGATTAAAAAAGAAAAAAAACAAGAAGTAGTCTAAAAATAATTTAGCTTCATCACATTTTTCATAGAATCACGGAGCTGGAAGGGATTGTGGAGATCATTTAGACTAGTCTTCATGCCATCCTGAGCAAATAGCAGTCCAATCTTTTCTTGAAAATTCCAAAGATGAAACATCACAATTTCAGGAGGCAGGCTACCAGATTTTAAAAATAAGTAGTATGCAATGATAAAATAGTCCCATGTATTTTCCAGAATTACCCCAGGTGTTTTACCACAGATGAACAATTATCATCTGAGTGTAACTGTATTCCTACAGAATGTCAAGTAGGTGTGCTTATCTTAACATTTAGCCATTGTTGCAACTTTATTATTTTTTCTCTATTCGGTTAAGTGGGATTTAATTTTTTTCTGGTATTTTAATATCCTTAGATTCCCTAAATCTGTAATGGCAAACTATGGCAACCGTGCCCGATGTGGGACACAAAGCCCTTTCTGTGGGCAAGTGTGCTGTCACCCCAGCTCAGCCAGCTGGTTGTTGGGTTTCTGGCAGTCTGGTGCACGCATGCATGCACACGACTTCCAATTTGGGCACTCTGGGCCTAAAAGATTCACCATCACTGCCCTAAAGAATAGCAGCATTCATATCGTCACCACGATGTAGAAAAGATGTGGAGACTCTGGAAAGAGTGCAGAGAAGAGCAACAAAGATGATTAGGGGACTAGAGACTAAAACATATGAAGAACGGTTGCAGGAACTGGGTATGTCTAGTTTAATAGAAAGAAGGACTAGAGGAGACATGATAGCAGTATTCCAATATCTCAGGGGTTGCCACAAAGAAGAGAGAGTCAAACTATTTTCCAAGGCACCTGAGGGTAGAACAAGAAGCAATGGGTGGAAATTAATCAAGGAGAGAAGCAACTTAGATTTGAGGACAAATTTCTTGACAGTTAGAACAATTAATCAGTGGAACAGTTTGTCTCCAGAAGTTGTGAATGCCCCAACACTGCAAGTCTTTAAGAAGATGTTGGATAGCCATTTGTCTGAAATGGTATAGGGTTTCCTGCCTAGGCAGGGGGTTGGACTAGAAGACCTCCAAGGTCCCTTCCAACTCTGCTATTGTATTGTATATATTCCCAATTCTAGCAGAAGATTTCATGCATAGGAAGAGGAATAAAAAACATAAAGATTTGCCACTAATTTGTTTTTGCTTTGAATTGATAGCATCAACATCTGGAGGAACAGGCCTGGGTGGGACTACCACAGGCACAACAACCAGAGTTATTACAACCAGCACTGTACACACAACCACTATATCAGCCCTGGGTAGAAGGAACAGAAGCACAACTACACTTTCTCCAGCTTTGGATAGTCTGAACGAAATGACAACACATCTGCCACCTGCCTCTTCCCAGCTGCCTGCAATTGGTGCAGAGAGTTGTGAAACTGTGGAAGCTCGTGAAATCATGTGGTTCAAGACCCGACAAGGACAGGTGGCTAAGCAGCCATGCCCAAAAGGCACTGTGGGTAAGCAGCGGTGCCCAAAAGACAATTTCTTTGCTCTATCAAGACATTTAATCAGGAGTTACTTAATACTAAACAAATAACAGAGTATCAAAGTTTTGCTTGTTCTTCACCTTCTTTCTGTCTTTTTGCAAAATGGTCTTTGTGGATGTTTTTAAAAAAATAGCATCAAAAATTAGCACCTTTGTTATGTTTATTAATAGCCTTTTTAGCAATGGTTGGCCCACTTAGACCCTTGGATTCTGGAATGATTGAAGAGAATTTCCTCTGCCTTGATCTGTTTTCTTGCAGAAATCCTAATTTCCATGTGAGATCGTAAGATGGAAAGAAAAAGGAAACTTCCAAATGTCCCCTCTTACTTATTTATTAGATTTTTATCCTGCCTTTACTACTTTATAAATAAGTCAAGGCAGTGAACATATATAATACTCCTTCCTCCTATTTTTCCCACAACGACAACCCTGTAAGGTGATTTGGACTAAGAGAGAGTGACTGTCCCAAAGTCACACAGCTGGCTTTTGATACAGATCCTAACAAACAATGATAACTTTCTCATTGAAATTGGCAGGATAGTGCATGGAATGCCAGCCCAAGGTCCGTGAATCAAATTAAATCGATTTTTATTGCACTCCTTAAGCAGTACAAAGCAAATATAACAGTATGCTCAAAGATGTAAGAAAATGTAGATAAAAAGCTTCAGTCAGCAGTAGGCCTAAGGATAAAACTAAATGATTAAAATGAATAACAGAGAGTGAGTGTAAGACAATTTCAGCTAAAAGAACATTTAAAAATTAAAAGCCTCACTGAGTGATTTTGATTTTTTTTTTAAAGAAAGAACTTAATCCTTTACTTAGAGTTAGAGTTAGACCATGTTTAGCTGACCATAAACCAGAGTTGCAGACATTTTTAGTTATTTTCTTATTTTAAATGCAGTCAGTAGAACTTGGCTATGGCAACAATCACAGAGCCTTTCAAGTTTCAAGTGTCTCATAGAGAGCAACATTTTCTGGTAGAACATCCCATCTCAAGGTGCCTTTTTGGATCTGTGAAATAAGAATATCTATCCTCCAGTTGTTAATATATTCTTGTTGTCTATGTTTGAAATATTGTTTTCAGTTCAGGATACTGATGGATCAGGCTAATGAAAATGGATTTTCATGGCACAAAAGCTTCCCTTAATATAGAAAATCGTTTAATAGAGGCATCCGAAACTAGTAAAGAAGAATGTTATTTGCATATTCATTGCTGAGCGGGATTGAAAGTATTAGTGCTTAACAGAGTTGCTTGTTTGGTGAGATGGGGAGCTGGAAAAATTGGAAAAATTTAAAAATAGAACAAATAAAGTTAATAATACATGTCAAGGAACACGTCTTTTCAGTGGTAATGCCCTTTTTGATTACCCTTTGAATAACATTTATGTTGGCAATGATTTAATTTGCCCTGGTATAATATCAGTTAGGCAATCTATTAATAAGAGGTTGTTTTATAATTTTGCTATACAGTATGACATTGTAGCATAACAAGGTGGTTATGCATTTTATATATTACCATGATATTTTATAATACAGTGTGACCTAAATATATTGTTGAACATGTCACTTCATTAACAAACTATACTATTAATATTAAATACCTCTTTCCCACTAGATTGGTATTAAAAAATCAGACATTATTTGCTTTTAAGATCCAAATCAGTAAATTGGAATTAAAACACAGCTGCTCCTGTTTTAACATAACAGTGAGTGAAAGAATGGAGGATGGAATACTTTAATAGAGTCAGTGATTATATTTTTTTTAATAACTTATTAAATTGCTATCTGAGGGTTTAATTTTTTTCCATGAAAAAATATTTTTGAATTTTCAACATTTTCATTTTAATGTAAAGATTGGCATGCAGAATTATTTTCAGTTTGTTTTTCCCACAATTTCAATTATGGGAAACCATCCCTTTTTGGCTTCTGGCTTATTGTTAGACATCAAGTGCCCCTCTGTGTAGTTTTTCTTAAGAGTGTATCAGTTACAAAGGTCTATGGCTTTATTTACAGTATCTAAAGGGTTTTTTTTGGGGGGGGAACATATTTAAAAGTTATCCTTGCTACAAAATAATGTGCATTGAAAGGATTCCTTCTGCCTTTCAATCACAAACAAAGAAGAGACTAAAAAAATTTTTAAAGCTTCCATATCATCTAAATTTAAGTTGAATAAAAATTCATTTCACAGATGCCTTTCATAAGATCATCCATCATATGAGGGTGGAGGTTCATTCTCCAAGCTTGTGGGTTGGTTTTCAAAAGATAGGTTACTTCTTCAGCGGAATTTGGGAGATGTCAGTGTCAGTATTCTTCTGCTTATTAGGCTTTGTGTGGTCAGTGGGTCTTGTGATGGTGAGGTAGTATCAGGTGAGGGTTCTTTTGATGGGTCTTGTCAGTTGTGGGTATGCCAAGTGAGGGCCTTGTGTTGGGTCAGCTGTAGATCACCAGTGAGAGTTTTGTGATGGGAGGTTATGTCAGGTGAGGGTCATTGCTGGTTGGGGGGTTGGGGGGTTGGTTGAGGGTTACTGCTGTCTCTGGTTGGCAGTGCGGTTGATTTGAATTCTGAGGGGTTCATAGGTTGGTTGTAGTTCAGTGTATCTGTTGATGGAATTATTTGTGGTGTGCCAGGCTTCAATGACCTCATGAGCAAGTGATAGCGTGGCCAATGATTCCTGTATTGCTCCAATCAAATTGTGCCATCACCCATCATATGCTTAGTAATTTCTCTTTTCGTTCACATTAAGCCCTATAATTCTGTGACTGTTTTTTCAAACTCTGTGAGATGCCTCCAAGAATTCACAGCCTGTGTAGAATTCTGGACTTCAAAGTAGCATTCTGTGCCAGGAAGTTTCTTTTGCATTGTCTCAGTGATAGCATGAGTTTTCAGCCCAGATAGTTGTATCAGAAATCTAGATATATAGGTAACCAAAAAATGTTTTTTTCTGGATCACAATGATATTCTGGCTCACAATGATATTTTTCTAAGATATAAATTAATGCCTGGACTAGGAGGAAAAGAATTCTCTTCTTCAAAAAGTTATCTTATTGATTATTAATTCAAGCATGACATTGTCATTATAATTTCAGGCGTTTCAACGTTCCTGTGCCTTGCTCCTGGTGGAAACTGGGATCCTCAAGGGCCAGACCTCAGCAATTGTTCCTCACTTTGGGTCAACCACATCACTCAGAAGGTAGCTGTTCACTTAGACGTGATATATTTGTGCTAACAGTGTATGTTACAGTCACTCTGCATTCATTTAAAAACAACATTTTGTAATCAAAACTTTGAAAAATCAAAGCAAACCATTGTATGCAGCAAAAGGAAGAACCCTGGTGAACTATGTTAGACAAAGGTATAAATGAGGCTGAAGATCAGTTTCAGCATGACTTAAAGTTAGAGCTTGACTCAAGGACTCCGTGAGAATAATCAGAAATGTGAATCTTTGTAACTCTAAAATCTTTTAGAAGTGATGATTTATTATATAAAAAAATCAGAAACTAACACATGGATGAAAATTCAGAAAAATACTTTCAGATTTTATTAGTATGGATGTTAGCTAGAGAATGTATTTGTTATAACCACTAGTCACAATGCACATATACAACATTTCAGGAGCACATGAAATAGTGTTGAAAATAAGTACTTTGTGCAGTTCCTACATTTTATTGCCCTTTGATATCATACTTTATTACTCTTATTTTAGTTTTGTTCTCAGTAAAAAAAAAAGTCTGATATCTTATGCTGTCAGCATAATACTTCAAGCATTTCATTAAATGAAATATGACTAAATAAGGACATGTTTACAGCTTTAGTTCCGGCTTTGTTTGGATCTTTTCCCATATTCTGTCCTCTAGAAATGGAGGAATGGAATTTTTCACATTAAAGTAGTTTCAGTTTCAAAGAACTGCATTATATTAAGTAATCTAATCTTCTTTTCGGGAAATGGATTGAAATGCCATTTAATTACTCAATTTTAAAATGATGTTATGATTGCTAATTTCACATTATAAAATGGATAAAGACATTCTCAAATCCTTTTCAAGTTTTACAAAACTGCTATAAACTATAACAGAATAACAAAGTTGGACGGGACCTTGGAGATCTTCCAGTCCAAACCCCTGGCTCAAGCAGGAGACCTTATGCTATTATTTGTGAAATAAACCGAGCAGTTCTTCTAATATTCATTCTTTTCTTCAAGGATTTAACATTTTTTATAGTATTTCGCATAAAGTAGCCTCTAGTGGCTCCTTTTAAAATATACTACACTTGACTTATTCTGTAATTGAGGTGTTATCATGTTTGAAAAGTGGAGGAATAGTTTTATTAATTTAGTTGCTATGGGGATTATGTCTCCAAACATCAGTCATGCTATATTTTTAGTGTCTTTATATTTTGATAAGATTTCATTATTTATAATATCTATCAAAATTGTCCTTAGTCAATGGATAAATGACACTATTCCTCAGATGCCTCCAGATATAAGATTCAGTTTACCCAGTTTTGGGTGGGCCATTTGAAGAAGTTTCTTGTACTTTGTTAGGCTCATGCACCATATATGTTATACCCAGAAATTGTTTACAGGGGACAATAAAATGGTGAGAGCAATTAGGTAACTGAATCTATGCCCCTTTTTAGGTCTATGTGATGTGTGAACACACCTTAAAAGGGAGCTGATCACCTGGTTACACCTACTTTTGATCACTCTTGTAGATGCTTCTATACATACACCTTGCTTCTTTTTCAGTTAAGCAGTGATCATTGCAACCCTGATATTTTGTGATTTGACTTCTTTAATTTCTTAAACAATTAGTTTTTAAAAAATCCCAAGTGAATAAAGCCACTGCCCACAGTTCAGTGGTTTTCGTAAAAATTAAACCTTAAAGCAGGGATTTGTGCAATTTGTGATCTTCAGATACTTCCAGAAGCCCCTTATGATCAACAGAGAAAGAATTTGAGGACTATAGTTCAATGTCATCTGAAGACCACAGATTCATCATTCTTGGCTGAGACTGCAATCCTATTTAGACCTACTTAGAAAAAAGTTCCCTTGAAATGAGCGATGCATATCATATAAATAACTATAGAGTTGAATTCTTTTGCAACTTCATCTATATATATAAAAGTGAAAACTATTCATGTCGCCATCATGAAATCTCCAGAACCATAAAGCCTACAAACTTGAAATGTATGTTCCTCTTGGCTTCTAGGTGCTCGCTTAGAAAGGATTTTTCGAAATGACAAAATCATTAGTATTTCTTGTATTATTAACACACTCTGATGCTAAGGAGTTCTATTCCCCACTCCCCACCTGAAAAGATCTCTGTTCCAACAGCCAACAGCGTGATTCATCCAGCCTGTGGGCTGGGAGTTTGTAGAGGATCAATGGGGCCACTCTGAGGGAGAGAAGATGATAGGATAAGGGAGGCTTCTGTAGGGCAAGGCTGAGGGAGAGAAGGGGATAGGATACGAGAGGCCTCTGTGAGAAAGCATGAGGGAGAGAAGGGGAGAGGAGAGGATGATCATAACTACTCATTAATTTTCAAGCTNCAATTTAAATTAATTTTAAGTTTTTTATAGGCAGTCTCTTTTAAAATGATAAAAATTCCTCACCAGCTGGAAACACTTTCTCTTTCCGTATCCTTCCATTTTGGAGCTGCCCCGACTTCATCAGCCTAATGGCTGGATTTTTTGTCTCCAGCTTGAAGAACTTCTCTTGGATCGATCAGGGACTTTGCAATGTCCCTGAGATCCCATCTCTGCGGGATGATTTAGGTGCGATTGGACCATCCAGCAGCAAAAGTATTGGCTGCGGTCTCGGAGCATCGAGACCGCACATCCGTATTGTTGCGACGTTGGCTCCTCCTCCCCTTATGGAATTATTCTTGTGAGCCCTAATACTATTTAATTCTCTTAGTGCCTTCAAGAAAAAACCCAATAGTACTGCATATCCTTGCAGTCAGAGGTATTTCACTTGGGCCAATGGACCTTCTGTGTTCCTTTTTAAGGATCAGGTTCATTTCTGCATTGTTCTTAAGGATGAATCACAGCAGCTGTGGAGGGAAGAGTGAAAGCTCTACCCCGAACACTTGGGATACAAGTCCTGCCCCTTTTGTATATGCATTTACCCTTTTTTAGTCTCACCTTTCCAGTATTCTTATAGGACTATAGCCTAAAGAGCTTCCTACATTTTAACATACGTTTAATTTCTTAGACTATATCTTTGGTAATTTTAAGATGAAGAATAATCCAAACTTACAAATCAATGTTTTTGATCCTGTTGTGCTGTTTAATATTGTGTGCTATTTTAATTATTATTTGTTACCAAAGTCACGTAAAAAGTTGTGCCCTCTAAATGTTTTGTACTTCAATTTTTATTACTCCGGTAAATATGGCCAATGGCATGACATTTTGGGAGATATAGACCATCTGGAAGACATCAGATTGCCTGCTCTGAGTATAAACTAATTTTATAGAGTGACATGTTAAAATGATATCCTTCTTTTCTTATTGCCGGTGGCTATATAACAATAAAGTCTTATGTCACTCAATCAGTTGATAAAAATATGAAAAAGGAAAAGGAAAACAGAGGGGGGGACTGTTCTCCAGATAAAAATATTTTGACATTTGTTGAAGGAAGGAAGGAAGGAAGGAAGGAAGGAAGGAAGGAAGGAAGGAAGGAAGGAAGGAAAGGTTAGGTTATTTTCATCTGTAAAGGTTTGAGGTTTTTAAACATCAGAGTATTAATAATCTCGAGTCAACACTTAATAAATACCACTGAACCCAAATAATATATTACTTGTGCTTTATAATAGTACAATATGTAATATAAAGGAAAAATCTAGTTTCCCATGTATTCAGGAATACAATTTAAACATTCACAATATCCTCTGCTTAAAAGCATTCCAGCTATTAACCACAGTAATTAATTCTGCTATTAAATGACTGTTATATTTTCCCTAAGAGTCTACCTTTCTATAACTGAAATTTCATTGTACAAAGGAATAGTTTTCTTCCAATAAAACATAGTGAAGAAACTTCACAGATTTCCCTAAGAAGCATATTTTTGAAGAGCTCATACAATCTTCTATTTTCATGATATAATCCAAATTAAAATACCCACAAAAAATAGCCTCCAGCCTCTGATTGATTGCATTCCACTGTAGGAAACACATAACTTATTTGATTTATTAATACCACTATCAAACAATTAGAATTATTTTTAAACAAAACCTGTAAATGTTAACCATTATTCTAGGTCCTGTCCTTTCTTAATTTTCTCCTGTTTGGTACTCTTTAAGATATTTTGAAGTGTGTTCTAACATATTGTGTTGGTTTAAAAAATTAATATTGCTTAAGTCTTCCTTCATTCAACTTGGGATCTAGTTTTAGGTCTCCTGATTATACTCATTGCTTCCTCTGAAAATGCATAGTTTGTTAAACTCTTTCTTTAAGAGAAGTAGTCAATTGCTCATAGAGTTTCATGAGTTGAATATGCTTTACATAATTTTTTGAATCAGTTATATATCTACTTATATCAGTGGTGGGTTCCCACCAGTTTTGCCGAACCGATAGTGGTTTGGCGGCCTGGGTCGCTGGAACCAGCAGTGACCCAGGCCTGCCACGCCCCCGAACTGGTTCTCCGGGCATGTGCCATCTTGTTTTTCACTTCTGCGCATGCACAGAACAATTTCTATTGTACCGTGCATTGCGTGCATCAAGCATGCGCGCAACGCTCCCAAGAGCAAACCGGCAGTAGTGCCTGCTGGAACCCACTCCTGATTTACATGCAATTTGTTTCCTAATCAGGGACAGTGTTAATCCAGTGTGACTTGTTCTTAACAAATGCATACTGGGTTCTGGTAATTGCTTGGTTTCAATGTGCTTTGCTGGTCATCATGATCATCTATTGATGCCCGACTCTATTTTCCTGTGTCCCTGTTTCACCAATTTTGAGGGCAAGCAAAATATTTGCATTCCTCCCATCTGACACATCAGTTTTTGTTTAGGATTCATCAAAGGTACAGTAATAAAATTTCAGCCAGACCATCAGCAAGTTCCCACAATACTATATCAGCAATTCATCTGGCTCTAAATTTTAAAACTCATTCAGGGGTTAGTTCAATTTGCTGATTCTGCTTCTGTTATTCCCAAGCTTCAATCATTCCTCTGTGTTCTGCTCTTCACAATTGCCTAGTGAAAGACATATTTTCTTGATGAAGAACATCAGATTAAACTGGGTAGTAGTTTGAGTAGTTTTCTGTTAAGCAGCCCCATACATTTTTTTATTTCCCATTTCTCTTCTTACCTCATGCTTCTTCTGTGCTGCCACACTCGCCTTCCCTTCAACTCCCCATATCCATTTATCTCCTTCCTCCAGGGGAAAATACTTATGGCTCAGCACGTCTGGTAGTGCCTGGGCATCATTGTGGGTGCTGGGATAGCTAAGCAGTCAAAGTCTTCTTGCAGGGTATCTGGGACCAGTGGACTTTCAGGACATTGGCAATGGCAGATGGGTCCCTGAGTCACAAGCATCACCAGCCAAGGCGGCAGGTTAATCAAGACTTAAAAGCTTACACCCATGCCTCTCCCTCCTTCCCTGACTGCTAGTGTGTCTCTGCTGCATTGCTGGGGATTTCTTTAGTTTACCTACAGTAGTTGATGTTGGCATAGAAAAGACTGAACATTTACCAGAGGGAATAAGAAAAGAGGGTGCAGGTTGGTGCAGAGATTTTACATTTGGGAAACAAACTGCTTTCTTCTCTGCATTGCCTAACTTGAACACTTATCCACTGGTCAGTCCCATGTGGATTAATAAGTAATGAGATTGGAGAAAGTTCACATCTATCTCTGTTTGATTGGATAGTGTCACATGGCATTCTCCTTCTGATTGGTTAGAGCCGTGATGGCTAATCTTTTTGCCATCGTGTGCCAAAAGTGTGGGGAGCATGGGGGTGTGTGCGTGCCCACACCCATAACTCTATGCTCCTGCACATGCACGCATGACCCCCTGCGTTCCCCCGCTTTTGGCACGCGATGGCACAGTGGACCCATTTTTCGCCCTCCCCAGGTTCCACACCCTTTCTAGGAACCTGGGGAAGCAAAAAAGGCCTTCCCCAATCCTCCAGAGGCTCCGGAGGCTGAAAATGGAGCATTTTTGTACTTCCAGTTTGTACTTTGGGCTGTTTTTCACCCTCTGGAGGCTTCAGGGAAGCCTCCAGAGGGCGAAAAACAGCCGAAAATCAAGGCTGAAATCAGCTGGCCAGAGCGTGCATGTGCGCTGGAGCTGCAGGGCAACGGTTCACATGCCTTCAGAAATGGCTACACGTGCCACAGGTTCACCATTACAGGGTTAGAGTATTCTTCATGCCCACCTCGTGACTTTTGCCTGCTTTGCAGAGAGAATGTTGGGCCAAGAATGGTAGATTCTGTCAATGTTGGAATTTCCTCCACCCCTCATTAAAGCCTGCAGGCGCATTTTCCAAGAGTGTTTGCAATATCAGCTGCAGAGTGTGCACTGCACCTCTTGGAAGGCCATGCCCTTCTCCTTCCTCCAGTTTTTCCTCCACCCACATAGCACCTTCCACTTATGAAACTGCAACCAGCTCTCTGCACCCTTACCATGTGCATCCCAGTGCTGTCCCCTCACCCACTGCCTGAATTCCAGGCCACCAGCTGGAGGAAAAAACACAAAGGTTACCTGCAGGTAATGGGGGGCAATAGAGGTGCTGGGGAGAAACAGAGTTAAGTTGCAGAATGCAGGACATCCAAAAAGGCAGATATTGGGGAGTTGAATTGCCCCTGCAGTTGTAAGTGAAATCATGTGACTATAAGGGCATTGCAAAAGCTGTAACTTCAGGCACAGGTTGTAAATCTCTTCCATCATAACTTCAAACAGATGCTAAATGAGTAGTTGTAAGTTGAGGACTACCTACATAGACATATGTCTTTACCTGAGAACCTTTCATAAGATAGTTTTGTCTCCGATCATCATAAGATTCAATTTAAAGCTGTTGTGATAAGTTTTACTGTGCTTCAGTGAAATAAATGTTGGCCAGTGCAGCCATCTCAAACCCACAATCCATCTTCTAGAGTAGTAGGAGTTAGAACATATACCGTAGTAGCCCCAGAGACCAAGAGCCTCTTCTTTCAAAAATATATCTAAAGAAAATAATTCAATGGAAGTATCTTTTAGGCTTTTCACGGTTCTCTTACCTCTATATGTAGGCTCTTCTCCTTTCATTTTTGTGTATGATATAATGATTCACATATAACAGAGGCAGAGGTAGCATTGCTATGGTGCAACCCTTTTTATCATTTTGACAAAGCATTGGATCATACACATCCTTCTAGGAGAATGGATAAGAAGAACAGATAACTAAATATAAATAAAGTTAATAAATAGCTGCCAATCATTTGATACATTTCAATTGTTTCTTCATCAGTTTAATTTGTCTTGGCATACAGCACCCTTTAAGGCCCAGTTGATCTAATTTGCATACCTTTGTTTCTAATCCTAATAACAGTGAGTTACCATAACTTTTCATCTACATTCCTGTTCAATAGTTCTTTTTCCCTGTTTCTCTCATCATCTGTTTTTGGTTGTCATTCTTGTCCATTGGGCATGCTTCTTTGGTTGATTTTTTCTTTATTGGCATCTTCTGGTTCTGATATCATCATCTTCTTCTTCTTGTGCCATATCCGTCATCGGATGTTGGCGATCATATTTTTATCAACAGCCACATGAAAAAGTGCTGCTGAGGTTTGTCCAAACCTGTCCCTTAGATTTTGAAGCCATGATGTTCTTCTTCTGCTTGGATCTCATTTGCCTTCAATCTTTCCATGGGGAATTAAGTGGAGTATGCTGTATTTTTCCGGGTGTTGCATCACATGTCCAAAATATTCTTTCACTTTGTGTGGTTTTGATGATCTCCCTTTACTTTCCCAGGTGGCTTATCACCTCCTCATTTCTGATTTTGTCAACTCAGCTTATACATAACAGCCACCTGTAAATCTACATTTCAAATGGCTACTAGTCTCTTCAAGTGGCTTTCTGTCAGAGACCAACTCTCTGCTCCGTAGAGCAGGATAGAAAAGAAGTAACATCTGACAGTTCTGATATAGCACCCCTTTCTTTGANGTAGGTCTGATAGTTCCCAATCAGGATAAAAGGAGTCACATACTGCCCCCAGATGGAGATATTGGTATTCCTGTTACTTCCGTCTTTCTCTTTTAGTTTGAATGGATTAGTTCAACTTCTTCATTAATTGCATGAAAAGAAATATAATTGTTGTTTTAATAATTGTCAATTATTAAAATTTGTATTATTAATTATGTTGGCTCAAAAAATTCAACACAAATTCAACACAAATAAGAAAGCTCTTCCCTGTGATTAAAACAAGCTGTACCAACACAGCTAAAGAGATCAAGATTTCTCCTTGTGAAAAAAAGAAATATACAAAAAACCTACTGAAATGGGTGAAGGCCACAAATGTATGGGGCAGGAAGCGCCTGTCTGTTCTCCAGGTGTGACATCGGAGCATTTTTTGAGACAGAAATTGTATGCTTTGGTGCTTTTCCTGAATCATGGGAAGGTGTTGTGGAAAGCAATTTTTGATGTTTAAGAACTGACAAATAATCTGATATCTGCTGCGATTTCAAAATCTAAGTACGTAAACTTCAGAATATGCTTATTTTAATAGATTATGGTATCCCTTGCAGCTCTAGCAGGAAAATCTATTGCCCTTGCCATTTTAGGGAATTCATGTAGATTTTATTAATATTTAAAGCATTTATGTTTGACATGAATTCTATTCAAAGAACATTTCACACAGAATTCCAGAACTCCAATGACTTAGTTTAGTCTTTTGTTTTAAGAATTATGGTGGCCTAGCAAATGCTTCAAGCCCTTTCAAAACCTTGAAAGCGCTATATTGTTATTGCCAATATCAGCTGGGCTACTTTTAATGTTCCCTCATCATGAAACATACATTTCTCTTAGGCTAGTCCATAAAATATCTTGTTATGTTTTCAACCACAGTTGAAATCAGGAGAGACAGCTGCCAATGTTGCTAGAGAACTTGCTGAACAAACAAAAAGCCACTTGCATGCAGGGGATATCACTTATTCAGTTCGTGCCATGGACCAGTTGGTGGGATTATTGGACGTGCAGCTTCGAAACCTGACACCTGGTGGAAAAGACAGTGCCGCACGAAGCTTAAACAAGGTAAGACTCAGCATCTTCTAAACTCATGATTGTAGCTTGGGCATTTAGCCATGAGAATTCCTCTGTTCTTATTACTGGGGATGGGGCATTCTGACCCTTTTTAATATAGCTCTTTGCTATTTGTGAAACCAGTTGCTCTCTATTTATATAGCTGTTGTTTCAGAAAATATCAAGATAGGGATTTTCTAAACTTTAGTTTCTATGGATTGTAGGAATGAATATAAGTAGTAAATGTATTAATCCAAAAAAGGTCTCTATNCTTAAAACTGAAAGTGTGCAGGACTTTTTCACACAGCTGTAGATGGAATTTGTGTACATCTGTATAGTATACCCAAGAAAGAAAATATTCAGTTTGTAACAGTTTTATATGAGTGAAAAGTTGATTAAATATGTAAATACAGCTTAAAACTGAAAGCGTGTAGGACTTTTTCACCCTGCTGTAAATGGAATTTGTGTACATCTGTGTAGTATACCCAAGAAAGAAAATAATTCAGTTTGTAACAGTTTTGCAACTTCTTTATCATTGATATATAACAAGAAAATGATAATTTACTCAGTTTAATATATTTTGAAAAGGGTTTTTTTTTTTTGCCAACATTGAATTATTTATACATTTAAAAGATGAATACTTCTGAAACAACATTGTATATACCCATGGTCTATGGAAGGCAGTCTTAACAAGTCTGGATGGGAATACCATATTAGTTCTCACTGTGAATGCAACACTATTTGTGTTTGCACTCCTGGACATTCTGGTGCAATGCAAAGCACTTTCACTTTTGAGAATATTTCCATGTTACTGGGGGGGTGGGGGGTGAAATTTTTAAAAATATACATTGTGGAAAAGCCACCAGTTGTTAGATCCAGTTAGATCCATTGTCTGATAAACTACTATTTCCACAAGATCAAGGAATAATGATCTCCCTTGAAATTTGGGACTTTCCAAATGCTATAATGGAAGCATATTATTTTGAACCACTATGATTACTGTAGTGGGTCTCTTGAATAATGACCAAGTAATTTATCTGCTTTAAAAATATTTTATAGATACTTTCAAAAGCTCTGCTCTTTTTGTTGCTTTGTTTCTGATCACTCAAATAGTCTCAACTAAATTCACTTAAAGATATTTTCTAAATTTGAACAACACTCATGCTGTTTCTAAGTTTTTTATGTTGAGAGAGAGAGAGAGAATAAGTAAATGTAACTGTAAGCTTGTTATTGCTTCATAAATTATTACCATAGATATATTCTTTATAAGGACTACTTAAATTTCTCTAAAATAAGTTAGTTTAGCATATTGTAGTTGAGTTTATTTATTTATTTTAAAAGATGTACAGTAATTAGATAATTGGCAAAAACTGCAGGTTCTCTTACATTCTATTCTGATGAGTGAAGTTCTATATTTGCCAAGAGACTGATTGAGACTATTGAGTTATAAGAGAGGACATTCCCTGTGGCAGAATCCTAACTAAAAATTCTAAATCCTGAATTTTTAGGATTTTAGTATACCATAAACATTGCTTTGTTGCTTAATTTTAAGTGTTAAATAACTTAAACAGTCTTAAAAATAAAGAGATATCTTTAGGATAGAAAGATTTGAATAGAAATCTATAATGTCTATACTTTATCTTAATAAATTTAATAACTTAATATTTGTAAATGGTGTTTAGTAGTAAGATGCCTAGCTTAAAGTCTATAATATTATTAAGAAAAAAAGTACTCTTGTGTCATTGTTTTATATATTTTGTTTTCTCCTGATGCTAATTTGTTAAAATTCTGTTTTCATAACTGCCATCTTTGTGGAACCAGCTTCAGAAACGGGAACGTTCTTGTAGAGCTTATGTCCAGGTACTTTCCATTTTCTCATTAAATATATCATTGTTTTCTCTGCTTTTTTTACTACTATTGTTATCTACTACTACTAATATTATTAGAAAAATCATACAACTCAAGAAAAATAGGTAATTGTCTAGTCTAGGGAATCATTAATAAAAATAGGGAAAAGGATAATAAAAAAATCTTGTTGAAAAGTGGAATGTATTGGAAAGTATAGATCTGATCATAAAAGTCCTAATAACTGAAGTGATTATTTCTGCAGCAACATATTCTTTAGATAATGCTATCACAATATGTGAATGGTTTGGGTGATTTCAATTCTTCCCATTTTCACAAGTGAATGGCATCACATTTTTTTATATGTGAGATCTGAAAATCAATTATCACATGATTATATATCCTAAAACCTATATAGCTACCTGTCAACCTGTCTGTCCTGATTTTTCTTTTTTTAATAGATTATATTAATATTAAAAAGTAAGTAGATGAGGGGCTGACATGATGAAAAATAAACTGCTGATTCGTAGAATTGTCTTATGAGCTACATAGAACACAAAGGTTGTCCATGATATTCAGATATCCATACTTTATAAAACACATACAAAATATCATATCAAGGATAATTTGCTGAAATTTTACAAATGGTTTTGCTCTTTAGTGATTGTTAAAATTAAATTAATTTAATTAAAATTAAACCTCCCTTAATTGTTTAAGAAAAGATTTGCCCATTCCCATTCTTCTTTTCCAGGAGACAAAATGCTGCTTTGAAAATGCTACTATGGGTATGAGTGCATAATATCTCTATAAATATAAGCACTCTGAGGGAAACTGGAAAGGAAATAGATATGTTTAGAACTAAATAAATATGGGGGCCAACCAATAAGTGGAGAGTTGTCAGAAGCAGTTTGTTTTTTTAACTTTATTTCCATAGGACATCCTGATTCCTTCAGTTTTCACTATTTTTCCCCTGTTTGTGCCGAGGGTGGCACATTTGCCATGTCGCAAACTTCAATATCCTGCAATATCTTGATTGTATATACAGAGAGTATCGAGCAGCAATTTTATTTCAGATAGTGTTTTCCATAAAGCTTCAGATCATCCATGTAAAGGAAGTGGGATAGCATGGCAGATGTTTTTGATGTTTCATAGCAATGGCCTTGGCTATGGACTTGTTCAGTATTGTTGACAGAAGAATCAGTGCAATGACAAACAATAGTGATCATAGTGAATCTCCTTAAGAGTCCTCCCTTAATGTTAACCTCTTTCGATCTATCACCCTTGATCAGCAACTATGTCTTCCATTGTGCAATTGATTTTTGCAAAAAACTTCTAATGTTTCTCCCGATTCCTTTTA